ACCTACCCAAGCGTTTGAAGGAGGGCTCAGCCAGGTGGATAATGAAGGTGTTCAGAGCCCCTTCAAACGGTGTGATGACCCCCGTCCCGCCTGCGTCCTTTGATGTCGCACACCTCTCCTGAATGAGGCTGCGAAGTTTGCCCAATTGCTCACGCAACTCACACCAAACGACGTAATCGCCCTCGCAGTGCAACGACGAAGCCATTGTCAGCGCTGACGTCATTCGCACACGACCAGCACGCGCCTATTTGGCATTTATAACAGATAAGGAATGCCCCACTACACTCCCATCTAGAGGGGCACAAGGCCAAGCACACGACACAGGTTAAGCGCACGCAACTCACACGACCCATGCCAAGTCGCCAAGTTGAAAGGCACTCCTTACCAAAGCGAAGGCATCTGCCAATACACACAGCCGATCGCGATGCTCCAAACGCCCCTCTCCCAACGCCTCCAATATCGGTGCCATCAAACTACCCTCGTACTGCACACGATAGAAGCCTACAACACCTGGGTTCAACCGAATTTGTGATCCGCCAGGCAAGTGCACATGAAAGGCCTCTGTCCGTGCTGATGGTGGAACCAACACGCGCTTCAACACCTTGGTCGAATCCGCGGCCTCACATATCGTCACTGGCACATACCACGCAGACGTGTCACCTAAACCAACCAACAAAAGCATACTCAAATACCATGAGTGGACGGCGTGTTCATGTGATTGCCGTTACCGTTGTAACCGCCTTCGGTGAGGAAACGATCCTGCTGAATGGCAATGACAAGTCCGTCATCCACGGTGTCGCACACTTTGTGCACCGTCAGGACGGGAAAACCCACTTGCCGTGTCCACGTCGACATGATGCTGCCCACGTCTTCACCGCAAACCTCAGACAACGCATTCCACAAATCCTCTGTCGTCGTATTGCCGTACTTGTGGCTTTGGATGTAGAGTTGAAGGCCTTTCGTAAATTTCTAAATGCATTTAGCACCGATTGCAGCACCACCTACCTCTGATCCTAGGTAGTCGTTAATCATACGGATGATGGAGGAGCCCTTTTTATAGGAGACAGCATCAAATATCTCATCCACTTCGTCAGGCGAATGCACCTCAACCTGTCAAGGGTGTTTCGAGGGAGGACAAACATTCAGCACAGTCGATAAGGTATAATTGAACCAGCACCACCGACTCACCTCTATGGGGTGACTGGTCTTCAGTGCATCTGTTGCCATGGCGCTTGACACGTTATTAGCGAGAAAGACGGTCTATAAAAGAGACATGGAGGTAAAAGAGCATCTTAAGTAACAGCAATGTTCGTAGGTGGGGAGAGCACCGACCAAGCTCAAACTATTTCAGGTCATGCTACTTATAAAATTGCAAGTAGGGCAAGCAAATTGTCCTGCAGGAAGGGAGCGACCGTGTCAATGACAAGGTACCCCTAGGTCACCCAAACCATCCAACCGTCCACTCATCTACCAATTCAATCATCCCACCCAATCACTCATTCGTCCACCCATTCATCCATCCGTTCTGACCACCAATCAGGCAATCAACTATATTCAGTCCCATCAATTGCGCACGAAATGTTAAGCTCAAGGAAGGCAATCCCGTTGAAAGGATACTTCACTGAGGAGAGAAACAGATTACTCACCCAAATATCGTACTCTGGAAAACAATGATCCACTGCCAGATACTCAATCCACGAGGCAAAGCCCTCATTCAGCCAGAGGTGGGTCCACCATTGCATGGTAACCAAGTTGCCGAACCACATGTGGGCGACTTCGTG